TCATATAACAAAATTGTTTAGTAACCAAAATTATAATTACACAATTTATTGTTTAGTAACCAAAATCATAATTACACAATGTTAACACTAAGAATCAACCAACTATTATACAAATCACAATTACACGAACAGGTTTGAGGCTGAAAGCTTCGAAACCTGTGTTTTCTCTAGCTTTCTAGAGGGTGCTTTTTAGATGCTCTTGCAGGGTCAAGTTCTTCAAGAGTTTTCAGCCTTGTGAGCTTCCCTAGCTCAACTGGAATATTTCCTGAAATGTTGTTATTCTGCAAAACCCTAAAACAATCATTTCAATAAAACCATCAGCCTTAAATGTCTTGAAATGTATGTTAATGATGTTATACCCGCCTTCACATAATAATAACTATAACGAGGTTCATAATTATAACTAAATAGAACAAGAACCCAAACCAATGAAATGCAAAGCCAGAGAACAAACAGTGCGAGCTGCAGTTATAGCTTGACTGTACTTTTTTTGTCCTGAACTTGCCCAGCTGCAAAAAGCCCCCAGAAACTAGTTAGCAACCTTCATTAAAGCAGTCGCACTTACATTGTTCGAAGCTTCATAAGTTATTCTTCTCAGTTCAAAAACGAGATTTTGCAAACCCTAGTTTATTAACATAATAGCAATCTGAGTCAGGACAAGTCGAAAGGGGAAGAGATGCAGACCTGTAGCATTGCTTTCCCGGCCTCTAGCACCTCTTCATTAGTCTGGCAGTCTGTGTCCATGAGAGTTGTCAAAAGAGAACCCTTCGTAAGAAGAATCGCAATTTTTTGCTCTGACTCATCGTGCATCTCTTACATAGCTTTGTTAACTGCTGCATCATCTTGATTCTTAAGATGCTTCTACTCTACATGTTTTATTCCACGAGCAACTACCTGAGAGATGAATCATAAGTTCAACATTGATTACAACATCTTCTAAGTCATGTGTCAATCTAGTTACGAGAGAATGGATAAAAATTCATGCAAAAGCTTTTCATGTTACCAAGGGCTTGTACTTCTGCACCAAGTCAGATGTTAAGTGATGAAAAGAGCCTTACAGGCTGCTGGTTCGGTATATCATTTTGACTTGTTTCAGAAGTACAAGCTCTAACTACCTAGCAATGGCTGGCTCTTATAATCTTTGTGCCACAGAGAATGCATTTGGTCAGGATTCACATTTCTGGTTCTCTAACTACCTAATCAAGAAAACAAAAAATAATGAAGCAAAGAGCAACCATCTCCATCAAATCAAAGAGGACCTCAATGAAATTATACTAAACCTTTAAGCAGCAATAGGGTACTGAATATATGACTATAATAACCTCCTTTCGGTCACACAATTAGCACTACACTTGGTTGGGAAGTTATTGTACAAATTCGCAGAGTAGCTCCTGCCGTCGGCAAAAGGATGGCTTTGACTGGGAAACCTTGAAGCACAAGAAGGTAAGATAGATCTATTTGAGAGATTAAAAAGATATATCATGTTTGATCCTACAATGCTTTCAATGTAGACGAGAAAAACACAGAGAAGTACAAGAGAATATAACAAAGTTCAACGCTTTCCTTTCCTTTTCTATACACCCCACTTTTCCTTCCATAAAAAATAGTTCTTATGGTGTATCTAACTAATTCCCAGTATTGGTAGGTGTCCCTTAGGAAACCCCCATGTTCATCTTTGCATTCGGACAGACTCTGCTACTCAGTAGCAATAGCCACTAAAAGGAAGTACCCAAGTAACTACTCAGTACCATTACCCTGTCTCTTCATCTGCATATCTGATTACAACCCACGTCAAACAAAAGGAAGCCATCTAAATATAGAAAAGCAAATAATTTTATTGTTGAGAAGGAATTGGTGTTGATTTACATTATAGCTAACGAGGAAGAATGGGAATTTTCATCCTTAATATGATAACTGATAAGGGAAATTAAGGCACATTGCACAACATTTGACCACGGTATATCATTTTGAGTTTCAATGATTGGCATAGAAAGAGATAGAGAGAGTCATACCGCAAACCCAGGTGACTGTTGCAAACTGATCCTCGGGAAGACTAAGTTGTTCATATATTCTCCAGCACAAAAAACCTGGTGATGCAGGGGATAAATTATTACCCACTCTTGTAACTAGAGTGCCCAAGTAACCACTCTCAACAGAGAATAGAGGAAAACAAAACAAAGTTCGCACTTGGCACTAGAGAGCTTTCAACCTCCATGCCAACCTAATAACAAATGCAAAATAGCCACCCAACAGAAACAATTAACTCAATTTAAACCAACGATATGATCATGGCAGAAACTTTGAATGAAGGATAATCTTCAACCAACTTAAGATAATAAAAATTGCAAACACTTTGCAAAATATACTCTTTCTCTTATAGTTTCCCTGTTGCCCTTTGCCATTAGTCCAACATTCTTATTCTTCACCATCAAGATAAACTTCTACAAATGGCAAAAAGAAACAGTGAACTTGATCAAAGTTGATAGTGTCATCCATCATAGTGAATGGAATAAGGAAATACTACTCAAACCCATATATCTAGGCCTTCTAGCCCAAGACAGGCTCTTCCTTCTTCCCTGCCTGGAAAATAGTAACTCAGAATGGTATGTGGAACATGCAAAAGTGACTGGTACATGCTGCTTGCTATACCATAAATGCTACTGTTCTTAATCTTGATTGCACTAGTCATCCGCTTCCTAGGTTCATCAAAGACAAGATCTACCTGGCCTATGAATTTTCATAAACATAAGATACTTTCAATGGACTATGAATCCATAGTTGAAAACTCCAAGTATCAACAATTCTGTTCACCTAGTGCTACAATCAAGAACTAACACCAAGGACTGGCCAACTAAAGCAAAGAACTAAGAAGTTAATTTTTAGAACACGCAAAAACCCTAACCTGAATTCTAGGGCACCGGCTGAAGCACTCAAACGAATCCTCGAGCTCATTTTTCGCCAGAGCCTTTGTTCTGCAGAAAAATCACAATCAATTGACAATCACACTGAAGCATCACAATGAAGTAAGAATATATCGGAACATTGACCTCAACAGATAACTGATCTGTTCTTAGCTGACGCAAGGACCAGGGGCGAAACCTTGAGATCGGACATAGAAGAAGCAGAGATAAAATTGGCCAGAGCTGGAGGCGGGATGATTCGCGATCAGTTCCCCTGCGACAAGAAATTCCATAACCCTAGCTTAGTAAAGAGAGAGAGATCGGAGAGACGAAGGAGAAAGCATCACAGTTCCTACGGTGGCGGCAGTACTCGCGATCAATATCGCATCGGTGCTGGCGAGAGATTGGATGCCATGGCTAGGGATTGGAGCGGCGCTCGTGCTCCAGGCCAGTGTATTTGACTTGTGTTCTCCCGACGACGCCATGAACGACTCGTGCTTCAAGCCGGCATATCTGCCTTCTGTGTTCTCGCAACGACGCCAGGGGGCAGGGACGACCTCGTGCTCCATCGCCTCCATGACTTGCTCAACGGCGCGGGTGACGAGAGTGCCAATCCTGTCGCTAGGGATCAAGATGACGACGCTTAGACCTTCGTCTCCGGGACGGATCGATGAGAGGTGAAGATGGCGATGAGGCGCGACGGAGGATGACGGGAGGATAGGAGAAGTTGGAGTCAGAATCGGAATTGAGAAGAAGAGGAGGAGGAGAAGTCGGATGGAATCGACGAGAGTCTGGTTTAGCAGAAGAAGGAAGGAGTATAGCCTATAGGAGAAAGGGTAAAGGTTGATTGTTATTAATAATTACATCTACAACCATTAAGTTTTAATAATAATCATATATAGTACCTACATTTTTATATATCAAATACAATAGCAACCAAATAATTTAGTTGTTTCGGTTTGCAACCAAATTATTTAGTTATCTAAGAATTTTGAAAATACTTGTTTAAATTCATAACCAATATATTTGGTTGGAGAAAGTAAAATTCATTATGTTACCAAATTATTTGGTTGGAAAAACTAAAAATCATTTTGCTACCAAAATTATTTGGTTGGAAAAAATATAAATCATTTTGCTACCAAATTGTTTGGTCGCTTTCACTTATATTTGGTTATCGATACTTTAATTTTAATAGACAACCAAATTGTTAATACTTTAGCTTCCAAAAAACAATTGGTTGTATATGCTATCCTTTTCACAACCAATTTTCATTTGGTTGTAAACTTTTTGGTTGCAAAAACTAGATTTTGTTGTAGTGTCAATATCCACCCGGACCACCCCGAACTACAACCCGACCCGCTGATCATGAACTACGCCTAACTTGGTCACTATGCTTTCAAATTTTACACGCTGTTTAGTTCTAACCAAGGTTGTCAACCCGCGGGTTGACCCACGGGTCAACCCAATTTGACCCTGACCCGGTGAGAAAAACGGGCCGTACGCACCCGCCGGGCCGACCGCTATTAGGTACCGGATTGGAGGTCAAATTGTGTCATTTTTTTCTTTAGTTTGCGAAATGCGTCTATTTTCCAATTTTTCTTTTCGCCTAACTCAATTTTTGGAATACTAAGTTGAACATTTGAATATTTATGTTACATAAGTGTGTGAATTTTTACTATATGTTGGATCTAAGTACGATATGTTATTTTGGTGTAATATTATATGTTATAACTCATATTTTAGATAAGATTTGATATAATTTATGAGGATAAGTACAATATAATGACTCTTTCTATATTACCGGGCCAAACCGAGCTAAAACGGTTGACCCATTAACCCTTGACCCACTAGCTCGACCGGGTCCGGGTCAACCCGCGGGTTGACAACCATGGTTCTAACTCTACTATGCATGATGATGGCCTCTGTCGCCGGCCAACTTGAGAATTTGAAAGTAGAAAAAATGTATGATGACAATCACGCAAGCCCTCCAACGCCCATACCATTACATCAAACCTTCACTACTCCACCTTCTATAAATACTTAATACATCCACAGCCACACTAATTAACCAAACACTACCTAATACTACTACTACTACAAATGACGAGCCAACCACCACAGGGCAGCACGCATTCCGGTTCGAGCACTACCACCGATCAATCGCCGGTGCCGCCGCTCCGCTCGCTGCCGGGGTCGTACGGGTGGCCGGTGGTGGGCCCGTTCCTGGACAGGCTGCATTTCTCCTGGTTCCAAGGCCCGGAGGCTTTCTTCCGGGCCCGGATGGAGAAGTACAAGTCGACTGTGTTCCGCACCAACGTGCCGCCATGCTTCCCCTTCTTCGCCGGCGTGAATCCCAACGTCGTGGCGATGCTCGATGTCAAGTCGTACTCTCACATGTTCGATCCCGAGATCGCCGACAAGAGGGACACCTTTCTCGGCGATTTCATGCCCAGCCTCGGTTACTCCGGCGGCCAGAGGACTGTTCCCTATCTCGACACGGAGGAGACCAAACACACTCAGGTTAGTAACAGTCTATTTTGTCGTGTAACTGTAGTTTAATATTAATTCAATCGTTTTATATCGCTAAAACTTCCTATCGGATTGGACTCTGATAGTTGATTTTTTCGGTTGAGTCGTCGGTACAATAAAACTATATTTTCAATGGTTTGCAGAAAGGGAGAGTCGAACATGGGACCTACTTGTTTTGTTTGTCCTAGTATATTCATTAATAACATATTCACGAGTTCATGATTTATACGTAACATCTAACATATTATGTGACATAATTTAATTTTCCATTTTTAGCCGGATATATTGAGAATGATATTGTTGATTGTTTGGATGATAAATATTTTCATAATACAAAAACACGTCATAAACGTTATGTACCTTAACTAAATTCCTGGCTACGCCACTGGATTGATGCTATAGAGAATTTGTGAACCAACTTTCAAATACTTCTAAACAGATCAAAAGGTTTGGGCTGGACATCCTGAAGCGGAGCTCCAAGGTGTGGATATCCGAGCTGGAGGCCAACCTGGACGAAGCATGGGCCAAGGTGGAAGCCGACGTGTCATCCAAAGGTAGAGCCAAGTTCGTGAATCCACTCAAGCTGTGCATGTTCAAGCTGCTGATCAAGTGCTTCCTGGGAGTTGACGTGTCCGAGTCGCCAGAAATCGCTGAGTCGGGGGTCTCCATTGTCGATATATGGTTCATCCTCATGCTTCTCCCTACAATCAGCCAAAACGTCTTCCAACCCCTCGAAGGAATTTTCATCCACACTTTTGCTTATCCTTCTTTCCTCGTTCGTCGAGGATACAATAAGCTCGCCGACTTCATCAGGACTCGAGGTACGTAAGTGGTTAAGTATCGTATTAGGATATATCTTAATAACACGTTTTATTGTAACCAGTTGGTTTATGACAAAGTATCAGAGTTAATTTGTCATTAACGTTATGTGGTGATAATCAGGACATGAAGTGGTCCAACGCGGCGTGACCGAGTACGGACTAAGCGAGGAAGAAGCGGTTCACAACTTGTTCTTCATGATAGGCTTCAACGCCTTCGAGGGCTTCAACCTCTTACTCCCGGACCTTCTGAACCAGTTACTCAGCGACCAAACCGGTTTACAAGACAGGCTCCGGGTCGAAGCCAGGCAGATGGGCGGGCCGGTCCTGACTTTCGACTCGGTGAAGCAGATGCCCCATATCCGATCCCTTGTCTACGAGACCCTTCGGTTCAACCCACGGGTCCCTCTCCAGTACGCTAGGGCAAGGAAGGACTTCCGGCTCAGCTCGCACGAGGCGTCGTTCGATATCAAGAAGGGCGAGCTGTTGTGCGGGTACCAGGTGCTGGTGGCCCGTGACCCGGTGGTTTTCGACGATCCGGAAAGCTTCAAACCGGACCGGTTCGTGGGCGAGAAGGGGACCGAGCTGCTGAAGTACTTGATCTGGTCCAATGGTCCGGAGACCGGGACGCCCACCGAGTCGAACAAGCAGTGCATGGGGAAAGAGTACGTGGTTCTGACCGCGTCGGTGATCGTGGCCTACTTGTTGCGACGATACGATTCGATGGCCGGGGACGGTTCGACCATCACGGCCCTTGAGAAGGTCAAGTGACCGAAGTAAAGTGGTGGGTTTGATGTGTGCCGTTGTGATTATTAGTGATGATTTTTCTTTCTGAAAAGGATATCTTTATGAAAATATTTATGGTGGTGTTCGATTTTTTATTTTCTCTTATCCGGCTGTAAGTTTATGCTTATTGTGTGGAATAATCCATGGAATGGCTAGCGTTACATTTCTTTATTTATTATTATTATTATTATTATTATTATTTTTTTTTAGTGATTGGCTTGACTATGTGCCCGCCTGTGGGTCAGAAGCTTTTTCTAAATCATAATGAATTATAATGTTTGATCATCGGAATGCCAGTGTATTGGAATTATGGTGTTATTTGAAGGTTAGAGTTTGTGTATACATAATCTAGGGAAAAAATCCCAAAATACTCTACCTATTAAAAAAAATTCCTCAAATACAATACTTATAAACTTTTTTCCCAAAATACAGCAGTTTCAGCATCACTGTCTTTGTCCAAGACAATCACTGTCTTTGTCCAAGACAGTGATGAAGATCACCGCTTTGGTAAAAAACGGGGAAGGTATCACCGCTTTTGAGTAAAGCGGGGATAACATCACCGCTTTCGACCACAACAGTGATTGCTTCACCGCCTCGGACCACAACAGTGATAGCTTCACCGCTTTGGACCACAACAGTGATCACATCCCCGCCTTTCAGAATAACGGTGATAATCGATCTCTTCACCGCGTTTATGGGAAACGGTGATAACATCGCGGTGGTCAACAACGGTGATAATTGACCACGTTTTTCTACCCTGGTAGGTGGAAAAATTAGGTCACAGCGACCTAGCTATCACCGCTTTGGACAACAGCGATGATGTGTTCACCGCCATTGTCCAAAGCGGTGATTAGCAGCCATTTTTTCCTATAAATTCCGAACCCCACTTCCTTCCTGCTGCTACCTTACAACAACCAAATACAACAAACCCTGTTTTTTTAGTCGGTTTCTCAGCTGGTTTGGAGTTGGTTTACTGCTCAAGAAACTCGTCGGGATTCGGTATGTTAGAATTATGTATTGTTTATATATATAGATTAATTATGATATGATAGATGTTAGTTAGTTAGTACTGAATTTAGATTAATTTGTTTAGTTTTCTCATGATAGATCGGGATTGAGTATGTTATAAGTATGTATTTTTTACATGTTGAGCTGTTAGTATGAATATGTCTGTGTTTAGTGAATCGCGGTTATTGGAAAATATGTTATGATATATTTAGATTAATTATGATATGATAGATGTTGGTTAGTTGGTACTGAATTAGATTAATTTGTTTAGTTTTCTCATAATAGATCAATTAGTTGCATTTTATTATGGGTTTGTTTTGTTTTTGTATCCATAATGTACTAATTGTATACTATACTTAATTATTATAAATTGCAGACATGGGTAAATTTAAGAAGTTTCGGCTTATTATTTATTGGAATGGTCGGGTGACAAACTCGAACATTGGGATCGACTATGAAGATGGCGAATCCAGTATGCTTACAATTGAGTCGAGATTCTCGTGGCAAGAACTCCATGACAGGTGTGCAAAAAGGACTTGTACGGGCGGGCAAATGAGAGTTCGTCAAATTACTTACCGGTGGGGATGCTGGAATTGGTTGCTCCAATCGACTTGTAGCGTAGGTCAATGGCGTGGAGCTCCCTGAACCCTTGAGGTGGGGATGCTGGAATTGGTTGCTCCAATCGATATTGCCTCAAAGATCGATCGGGCAGGTGCCACTCCACCATGTGCCAGCAGATTAAGGGCACCTTGCACAACCATGTCTCTTGATCCTCGGGATGTCTAAGACGATGCAACTCAACCACTTCATTTGGATATGGATCCCATACCGCCTACAATCATTAAAATTCATGGAATTAGTAAAAATTATATCCACTCCACCTAATAAATTGAAAATCATGACATTCAATATTTTTACCTGGTTCCACCAAGGCTTATCAAATTCAGCACGATAAAACAGTAAAGAGTGCTCGGGCTGGTGGTCGTTTGTATTTGCTCCGATCCACCTAATTAAGCAAAAGTACATATATAAGCAATTTTTAAATTAGCTAAATGCGATTTGGTTAGAATAAATCCAAATTCACTTACTTGGAAGATATCTAAATTCACTAAAATACTAGAATTGCAGACCTAAAATGTCTCTAAATCCGCTTAGTTGGAAGATAGCTAAGTTCACTAAAATACTATAATTGCATACTTAAAATTGCATACTAAGTTCACTAAGTTCACTAAGTTCACTAAAATCTAAATTCACCTAACTAGCTACCATTGCATATCTAAAATAAATTCAACTTAAATTGAACTTACTTGAAATCATATGGAGGATTTGCTACAAATCGTAGCTCATCATCTGGCAACCAGAATTCCCGAGGGTCTCGAGGTGCGAGAAACGGAAGATGCTCCCATGCCCAGAGCTGGAGTATGAACATCGCACCACCAGCTTGTTTCGCTCCCAACTTCAAGCAAGTACACAACTCGCGGTAGATCCCAGCCAAGACGGCCGACCCCCAGCTTTTTTGCCCGATCTCGTCCCAGTCACCGAGGAGCATATTTAACCACATGCCTTGTATCCACCGGTTTGACTTGTCGGGGAACAGAAACCCACCAACCAAGGCAATTAGGTAAACACGTGCATACCGCTCCACCTGATCTTCAGGAGTATCCGGGCCTATATTAACCTCCATCTGGATGTGGTCAACAAGCCACGGGATCGATACTTGCCCCGCATTCAGTGGTGGATGCCCCTGACCTTCGACGGGCGTGGTGGTCGGCATGTTGAACCCCAGACGTTCCTGAATCAATGGCCCCCAACCATCTTCTGGTTTTCTCGAGTTGTCGATGATGGCATCTCCGGTGATCGGGAGCCCGGTGAGGATGGCAACATCTTTGAGGGTGATCGTCATTTCACCCTCGGGAAAGTGGAAGGTATGCAGCTCAGGGCGCCATCGCTCTGCCATTGCCGTCAGCAGATCGTTGTCAATATCAAGCCTCATAAAGTGCCTCAAATTGTGCAATCCCGCCCTCTCTAGATAGGGATGCAGTCGAGGATGCCAACGGGGCAATCGACATGTCCCTCGATGACTGATGGGAATAAGTGATTCCTACAAAACAAAAAACACAATATTGTCAGTCAATAAAAAAAAATACAAACGGTAAAACTATTGAAATAATTTTAGTGTGTCTACCGGATTATTGTTCCAAATTGAACGGGAGCGATGTTGATCTTGCCCGGTTAAATACCGTGGATCCCTTGGGCCAGGATCGATATACAATCTAGGGTCGTATATCTCAGCACCCATCTATAAAAAAATATGAAATCAAATCAATTTAAATTTTAGCACCCATGTAAAAAAAGCACAAAAGAATAAAATAAATTTACGTACTCTCAAAGCCTCTTCGTCCATTTTTTGCCGAAAAGCTAGCGAGAGTATCGACAAAAAACAAAAACTCTAGTAATTCTTTCTGATGCGGAAGATCGGACTTAGCCGCAACCACAGAGCATACTTAGAACGAAACTAGAGTGAAGTTGGAGGGAGAAAGAAGTATAAAATTTGGTGGTGTGGTTTGGAATGAGGGGGGGAGTGGTATTTATAGGGGGGAAGGAAGGGGAAGGGGACGCTGGAAATTTATGGCGGCCAATCACCGCTTCCATCGGCCGCAGTGACAACACCGCGTTAGTCAAACGCGGTGATGCGCGGATGGCTGACGTGGCGAGGCGTGAGGCGTCGGATCGTGGAGAAAAACCACAATCCGCGCCTCACCGCATCGAACGGCAGCGGTGAAGGGCGCGGATGGCGCGGATCGCTGACGTGGCGGGGCGGGGCTATCACCGCTTTTGTCTTACGCGGTGAAGTCCCCGCTCCTCGCCACGTCAGCGATCCGCGCCAACTTCACCGTTTTAAATATCAACGGTGATAAAGCTTCACCGTTTTTCTTATCAACGGTCAAGCTATCACCGCGTTTGTTTAGGGCGATGATAGGTTCACCGTTTTGGACGAAAACGGTGATAGCATCACTGTTGTTGTTTAAAGCGGTGATACTATCCCCGTTTTTTACCAAAGCGGTGAATACCATCACTGTCTTGGACAAAGACAGTGATGCTGAAACTACTGTATTTTGGGAAAAAATTTTATAAGTATTGTATTTGAGGAATTTTTTTTAATAGGTAGGGTATTTTGGGATTTTTTCCTAATCTATGTGTCTAGGATGGAGCCAAGATTTTAGAATAGGGGTTCACTTTTTACCCAACTACATAATTTAACAAATAGATCATATTTTCAAGTATACGATATAATTTCTTGGAGGTAGTTATGTGTTAGCATATGCTTAAAATATGCACTGTAGAATATGAATATAAATGGTGCGAAATCTTTTTCATATTTTGACATTATGAGAATCATCTAATTAACGTTTTAATAAAATATTCACCAAAGTTATTAAAAAACGATCTGACCACTCTCTTCTTTCTCTCTCTTTCTGACCTAGCTAGTTGGGGGATTTCGTTTTCGGAGGCATGGCCGCGCCGAAGCCGGCGAACTGGGCTCATATGTTTGGGATGGTGGAGGGAAACCGACTCCGCTATGTTGCCCCAGATGTGGTCGACGGAGAGCTAGTCGTTCCTCGGGCGGTGCGGGACGAGGGAGCGATCCGATGGAGTAATGCTCTCCTTCACGAATCCCTGATTGGGGAATGGGCCTTCAAGGTTGGGGAAAATTCTTGGACACAATCCTCGGTCTCCTCATCATTTACCCGATGGGGTTTTGCACTTCCATGGTCAGGGAATTGGCCTAAAGCAGTCCCAACGCCTATGATCATCACTTCTCGACCCTTGGACAACTCCAGCTCCTTCGTCGAGCATCTCTTGATCAATTGGACTCTTCTCTTTGTTTTCTCAAGCCTCTAAATTCTTCATCTTCGGGCCACGATCGTTATATGTTCTTCTAACTCGATGGACGCCTTGCGAGGTGATCCGGGTTG